ACCATAAGAATACCCACGACACCTCAAATAGAGGCCAAGCCAAGGGTGGATTGTGCAGATGTCTAAATATACCAGAGGCAGCTCAGGTAAGAGAGACAAAAAACTAGCACTACAGCGCCACCTACTGAAAAACAAAAGAAAGGCTTCTAATCTCCAAGCAGTTGAAAAGTTTGAATCAAAACAAAGCTATACCTAAACAAAAAACATTTTTGCTACAACAAGTGCACAATAAGTCATGGTACCATGGTACTACATAAAGAAAACAATTCTCCAGAAACCAAACATAAAGTCACGGAAGTTTGTGATCTATCTGATAAAGAATTCAAAACAGAGGTCATGAAAAAACTCAAGGAGCTACAAGAAAACTCAAAAGGCAATTCAACGAGCTCAGGAATAAATCAATGAACAGAAGGAATACTTGACCAAAGAGATTGAAACTCTGAGAAAAAAACAAACAGAAATTACAGAGCTCAATTCAATAAATAAGATGAAGAATGCATTAGAAAGCATTGGAAATAGAGCAGATCATACGGAAGACAGAAACCTAGAAATGATGCAGGTAGAAAAGGAGAGAGAACCAAGACTTTAAAAAAAACATAGAAGTTCTATGAGAATTATCTGACTCTATTAGAAAGGGCAACATAAGGGTAATGGGTATCCCAGAAGGAGAAGAGAGAGAGAAGGGAGCAGATAGCTTATTTAAAGAAATAATAGCTGAGAACTTTCCAAACCTGGGGAAGGAACCAGATATACAAATCTATGAAGCTAATAGGACACTTAATTATCTCAACACAAAAAGACTTTCTCTAAGACACATAATATGTCACATGTCACACATGATAAAATCAATGACAAAGAGAGAATATTAAAAGTGGCCAGGGAGAAAAAGAAAATAACCTACAAAGGAATCACCATTAGGCTATCAGCAGATTTCTCAGCATAAACCCTACAGGCCAGGAGAGAGTAGAGTCAAAATACTGAAAGATAGAAACTGTCAGTCAGAACACTCTATCCAGCAAAGTTATCTTTCAGATATGAAGGACAAATAAAAGCTTTTCCAGACAAACAAAAGCTGAAGGAAGTCTCTGCCACTAAACCTGTCTTACAAGAAATGTTGAAAGGAGCCCTCCTATCTGAAACGGAAAGGCAAGGGTATACAAAGCTTTAAAGCAAGGTGATAAATAGAATCAGAAAACTGCAAATCTGTATCAGAAAAGGATAGTAGACACTTAATTATAACATGAAGATTAAAGGGAAAAGAAGCATGAATAATAACTATAACCACTTCAATTTGGTAACAAATTCACAACACAAAAAGGGATAATTTGTGACAACAAAAACATAAGGAGAAAAGGAAAAGGACAGAACTTGCATAGGCAAATGAAGATAAGAGGCTATCAGCAGAAAAAGGACTATCTTATCTACGAGACCTTTTATAAAAACCACATGGTAACCACAAACAAAAATTCAGAAGAGTCACAAAAATGCAACATCTGTGAAATGCAATAAAGTGAAGCGCAATAAGAACGAAGTATGCTTGTAACAAGGAACAGGTTCAACTTTTAGACAAACAATAAAGCTCACTGTGATCCTGGACCATGGGTGAAGTGTTTAAAAGTGCAGGATTTGGGGCCAGATGTCTGTGTTTGAATCCTGTCTCTGTCATTTACTACCTGTATGACTTTTAGCAGTTACTTAACCTTGTGCTCTTCAATTTTCTTATTTATAACACACAGTTAATAATGGTTATTATGAGAATTAAATGACTTAATACATGTGAGGTGCACAGAACAGTACCAGGCACAATTTGCTACTATTACCATAACTACTACTTATATTACTATTACTACTATTATGACTTCTTCAGGTCACGCAGAAGTCACAACATAGATTTCAGAGCAAGCAAACCAGTCATTCTATTTTGCAATGCTAGCTTTATACTCCTGATATTTCTTTTTTTTTCCTGAGAAAGATTTGCCCTGACCTAACATCTGTTGCCAATCTTTCTCTTTTTTTGCTTGAGGAAGATTGGCCCTGAGCTAACATCTGTGTGAATCTTCCTCTGTTTTGTATGTGGGTTACCGCCACAGCATGGCTGATGAGTGGAGTAGGTCCACACCTGGGATCCAAACCTGTGAAGCTGGGCTGCCAAAGCAGAGTGCTCCAAACATAATCACTACGCCACGGAGTCAGCCCCTCCTGATATTTCTTATGTTAAGTAAAGAGGCAGATTTATTGGCTGACTCTGAGCAATGGTAGTGGGGATATATATTTTTTCTAGGGTTAGCTCTACCCAACTCTCTAAAGCCACTGCTGAGGGCACCAGAGGGATTCTCCTCCTTTATTTCTCTTCACGAGAGGTAGAGAGTATTCTATATGAGCTCGAGAAGCAGCAGAAGCCACCCTCTAAACAGCTGCCCCTCCCCCCTTTCATAACCATTAGCTCTGTCTCCCATGAACTTATCAGGCACATCGATTCCCAGAAAGGAGGAAGAGTCAGAGAGAGTAAAGCATACAGCAAGGCCTACTGCTCAGCCCTGCACTTAGCCTCCATGCTATGAAACAGGAGGCTGGGGATAAAGCAGGTAAAAAGAGGGATAGTGTAACTGCCTACAAATCTGATGGCAGCCAGGCATGGACATATAAATCAATTTACCAAAAGAGAGGCTAAAAGAGAAAAGATCTCTTTCTAGGTTCCATCTTCACTTTTACTTGCCTTCAAAATGTTCACGATTCCTGAAGACTAATCAAGAATGACTATAGAGTATTTAAAAGACAAATGCATAAAAATAACTATAAACCCATGTTTTTGGGCACACAATGTATAAAGATGTAATTTGAGACAACAATATCATAATGGGGGGGACAGCGTGTATAGGAGTAGTTTTTGCATGCAACTGAAGTTAGTATCAACTCAAATTAGATTGTTATAACTATAAGATGTTACATGCAATCGCCATCGTAATCACAAAGTAAATATCTACAGAATATACACAAAAGGAGATGTGAGGAGAATTAAAACACATCACTACAAAAAATCAACTAAGCACAAAAGAAGGCAGTAAAAAGAAAAGGTATAAGACATATAGAAAACAAAAAGCAAAATAACAGAAGTCCTTATTAGGAACTACTTTTAAGGTAAATGGATTAATCTCTCCAATCAAAAGACAGAGATTGGGGGCCGGCCCAGCGGCGCAAGCGGTTAAGTGCGTGCGCTCCGCTGCGGCGGCCCGGGGTTCGCTGGTTCGGATCCCGGGCGCGCACCGACGCACTGCTTGGCAAGCCATGCTGTGGCGCCGTCCCATATAAAGTGGAGGAAGATGGGCACAGATGTTAGCCCAGGGCCGTCTTCCTCAGCAAAAAAAGAGGAGGATTGGCGGATGTTAGCACAGGGCTGATCTCCTCACAAAAAAACAAAACAAAACAAAACAAAACAAAAAAAAGACAGAGATTGGCAGAATAGATTAAAAAAAACACAATCCAACGATGTGCTGTCTGCGAAAGACTCACTTTAGATGTAAGGACACATATGGTTTGAAAATGAAAAGATGAAAAAAGATATTCTAAGCAAACAGTAACCAAAAGAGAGCAGGATGGCTGTACCAGTATCAGACAAAATAGACTTTAAGTCAAAAACTGTTACGAGAGACAAAGAAGGCCATTATATATTGATAAGAAGGTCGATCCATCAAGAAGATGTAATAAACATAAACATATACACACAAAACAAGAGCCCCAAAGTATATGAAGCAAACACTGACAGAACTGAAGGGAGAAATAGACAGTGCTACAATAATAACTGGAGACTTCAATACCACACGTTCAATAATGGATAGAACAAATAGACAGAAGATTAATAAGGAAATAGAGGACTTCGACAACACTATACACCAATTAGAACTAACAGATATATACAGAACACTCCACCCAACAAAAGCAGAATACATATTTTTCTCAAGTGCACATGGAACATTCTCCAGGACAGACCATTTGTTAGGGCACAAAAATGAGACTTGATATATTAAAAAGATTCAAATCATACAAAGTGTTTTTTTCAGTCACAATAGAATGACAATAGAAATTGACAACAGAAGGAAAACTAGAATATTCACAAATATGTGGAAATCAAACAACCAATGGGTCAAAGAAGAAATCACAAAGGAAATCAGAAAATACTCAGGGATGAATGAAAATGAAAACACAACATTCTAAACTTAAGGGATGTAGCTAAAGCAGTGCTAAGAGGGAAATTTACAGCTGTAAACACATACATTAAAAAAGAAGAAATTTCTCAAATCAGTAACTTAAGTTTGCATCTTAGGAACTTAAAATGAAGAGCAAACGAAACCCAAAGCTAGGAGAAGGAAGGAAATAATGAAGATTAGAGTGGAGATAAATAAAATTGAAAACAGAAAAACAACAGAGAAAATCAATAAAACCAAAAGCTAGTTATTGAAAAGATCAACAAAATTGACAAACGTTTAGCCAGACTGACTCAGAATAAAAGCAAGAAGACAAATTACTAAAATCAGAAATGAAAGTGAGGACATTATTATTGATTTTACAAAAGTAAAATAGGAGTTATTATTTAATGAGTACAGATTTTCTATTTAGAACAATGACAGAGTTCTGAAAGTGGATAGTGGTGATGGGTATAGAACACCGTGACTCTATTTAATGCCACTTAATTGTACACTTAAAAATGGTTAATTTAATGTTATGTATATTTTACCACCATCAAAAAAAAAGATTGTAGAGGTTGCATAGAATAAGTATCAGGATCTCTAACATGCCACATATAACAAAGCATTAAATATGGCTCTTCAGGGACCAATTCTCCTATAACCAAATTTCAGTCTTTCCCCTGAATGCAATACAGTACCTATCTTTCAAATATATTTTCCAAGTTCCAGTAAGTAATCCAACACACTCTCCCAATTATCTTCTTTCATTTTTAAATGAGGTGGGGAACAAATGAACAGCCAAGCAAACAAACTCACCCCTCATCGTAGAGTGTTTTTGTGATACCTCCTCCAGGAATACGGACACAAAACTCAGAATCACTTATTTCAGGAATGCGTGGGCTTTTTTCCATTTCTTCCCAGTTAAGGCTCTTTATTTTATTTTGAACACTTTTTTGCATGGAAGGTGTAAGTAGGTACCTGAAGGGAGTACTAGAAACAATCATACAATTAACTTGCTAAAAACTCACAAATACGAACATTAAGGCAAATATCAACTCTTTTAGCAAAAATTATCTCCTTCTCCACATATTCTGTTGCACAAGGCAAAACACAAGTTTCAGCAGTCTA